CACAGATTAAGCAAGCTTTGATATTGCACGTTGTGCCCGATCAGGCACTCTGCGATGTGCAAATCCCCGAGAAGCTCAACGTCGGATTCCTGAGGAAAGCTACGTACATCGATATAATGGAAGACTATATGCTATTATTAGATAGATCCATATACTTGAAGGACACACGCGTAATCATACTTACAGATTGTACCCTGACGTAAAAATGAAAATAAATTATGTAAAATGTATTCACGAACTTACCGACTCCCTGATTCTTGGTTACAGCTGTTTGTCGTGCTCTCTCTGCCCTGTTGTTGTGCGGCCAATTGTAATATGTATGCTGTCATATCTAAATGTGATTGAATAAATCCATGCAGTATGATTTGTAGTCGTGCTGGTTATAGATTCCATGCCACATGATACATAATTGGTTGTGATTGTGTGAGTTTTATACCAAAGGGTTTTACCAACAATCATAAAACAGGCCGAGCTCAGGTAACCGCGCAGTATGGGGTAGTAATGTATATCTGCACTGCTATGGAGTGGACCACAATGTTCACAAAAGATTATCAGTTAAACGACCGGCGCAAGCGTAGTAACAAGGAGAATATTGATCTTTCTAAGTATATTGTGGCCGATCACGCTCACCTGTAGACAGGCACAGCCGAGTGTTGGCAATTGAGGATGCAGAAAACTGATAGAGATGAGTAGTTTCTCAAATGAACATATTATGCCCCTGGTCAGGCTATTGATGTTCAGTAGTTCACGAGATAAGTTGGTTATTGCTGATCATAGGTCCGATTTAGTCCATGAACATTTTCTTTGGCTTACTAGTGGTTTTTACGAACTTTGACGACGTGCTGAATGAATATGTATGGGCCGAGCATTTGATAGCTCATTATCCGGTTGAAGAAATAGCGGCATATAAGTCTGTACTAGTGTATCCCACCGGACCGCTCCCTATGTATGGCGAACCCACGGGAGCAGGGAATATTCTCCCAAAGCAGATTGGTTCACCGCAGAAGAGTACGTAGGCTCGTGTCTGCGCTGATATCAAGTA